CTATATATATATATATATATATATATATATATATATATATATATATATATATATATAACACTAAAGACAAACAAACATACACCATTATTATTCACCTTTTGTCCACCACCTTTTTATTATTTTTATACATTTCATCTTTTATTTATCAAATAAGTTCGGTTTATAATACAATTCAAGCAATTGATGTGTAAAGTTCTACTAACAATCATTTTCCAACAAAGGGTATTGTAATTATATTAATTTATGTAAAGATTTGGGATCACATCACGATTATTCTTTTTAACACCTTTGAGTCTTTGAATAAGTTGTTTTTTTATCTGATAACTGATAAAAAAATACAGATATTCATCTTATGGCTGACAAAAAACACAGACTTTCATCCACCATCATTTAATTTTATCTTCATAAACTTTTACATATCGGCTAACAAAATTTTGAGTATAGTGATAGAAGTATGTGGATGAAGGTAAATGAAGACAAACAAAGGTGTAGGAACGCAATGCAGGTGTATGAAGACATTGTTCTCATATAGTCACGTGATTGCAACCCTTCTATTAATAACAATGGAGCCCTAGATTTACTCTCCAAAAGAGTCGTTAAGAAAAGAATAGATGTTCCAAGAAGAGAAATAGTCTAAACCTAGCCGATATAAGACTCCAACACGCCCCCGTCCAACGAAGGCTAGACAAACATATTGTCCAAATTCTCGAGAAAGAGCTAGACGGGTGAGTAACAAATCTTGACTTTAATACTATATAAAATTATATGAAACACTCAAGATTTACTCTTTAAATAAACTATTGAGAAAATAAATGCTTTAACATATATATATATATATATATATATATATATATATATATAGGGTTGAGTTGAGACCAAGGGTTTTCCGTGAAACCCGTAAGACCAATTTATGTTATTGATCAACTTTATAAGCTAATGATCTAATGATCTAAAGTTATATGGTGACAATTTTGTGATTATTGAGAAGTCTCGTGGCAATTTTGTGATTATGAATGTTCAGATTGTAGATTTAATGCAAAGGTTGAGAATTGGTCTTACGGGTCTCATAAAAACCTTTAGTCTCATATGATCTCAAGTCTATATATACATAACAATGATTCATATCCAACCGATATAAAATTGTACTTTAGTTTTGGTTTTGATAGTGATGGTTGTAAGAAAGCATACCCCTACCCCCCTTATAAATCAACACCCCCTTTCCCCATTTGATTTCAAGACACTTGTACTTGATATACAATTTAGCTATATTCCCCCTCAACCCCTCCTCAATCCTTTTTTAACCTTTTTTTTAATCCAAAATTACAGTATCAATTACATTCGAATCTAAACCATCTATTTTTTAATCTGACAGATGAAACATTCTACTGTCGTTAATCTTTTTAGAGTTCTCTCTTAAACCCTCTCTCTCTCTCTGTATATATATATATATACACACACATATATATATATATATATATATTAATTGGTAAATTGCAAAAATGGCATTTGAGGAGATTAAGGTAAGAAGGTATGATGGAGGTGTTGATAGAGCTGGAGTTGAACTACTTGAAAGAAGATGTGAAGTTGGGCCATCTCAACATGTCTTTCTTTTCACTGATACCATGGGTGACCCCATCTCTAGAATCCGCAATACTCCATTGTACATCATGCTGGTATACTTGTACATGTATATACATACAATCTTCATATATCTATATATCACTGGTTCAGAAAAAGTGGCATTTTATACGTATGTATGTGTTTGTAGGTTGCTGAGTTGAACCATGAGCTAATTGGTGCTATTCAAGGTTCGATCAAGGTGGTCACTATGAAAGATTTGGTTAAAGTGGGCTACATTTTGGGACTAAGGGTTGCACCGCTGCACCGTCGTAAAGGCATTGGTTCGACCCTCGTGAGCCATTTGGAAGAATGGTTCATCAGGAACCAAGTGGACTATGCGTACATGGCAACCGAGAAAGATAACAATGCTTCGGTTAATCTCTTTGTAAACAAACTCCGGTACATCAAGTTTCGGACGCCCGCGATCCTCGTTCATCCTGTCAAATCCCGGCCCCTCAAAATGCCGTCAAAAATCGAGATTTTTAAGATTAGCGAAGAGAATGCGGAGTATTTATATCGTCGTTTTATGGGTTTGACGGAGTTTTTCCCAGCAGATATCGATAAAGTTCTTAGAAACAAGCTAAGTTTAGGCACTTGGGTGGCATGTGAACGAGGAGAATGCGATCAATTTGGGCAAAACGGTAACTTACCCACGAACTGGGCGATGCTAAGCGTTTGGAATAGTGGCGGTTTATTCAAACTACGAATCGGGAAAGCACCAGTTTCGTGTTTGGTGTACTCCAAGGTGTCGAAAGTGGTCGATAAATTTGCGTTTGCGTGCTTCAACATGCCGACGCTATTGCGGAATCTTTTCGAGCCATTTGGGTTCTATTTCTTGTACGGGTTGCACCAAGAGGGTCCGGGGTCCGGGAAGATGGTTCGAGCCCTTTGTAAATATGTGCACAACATGGCTCGAGTGGGTGGTTCGGATTGCAAGATGGTGGTGACTGAGGTGGGGAGTTATGATGAGAGGGTGAGACCTCACATCCCCCATTGGAGGCTGCTTTCATGCCAAGAGGATTTGTGGTGCATAAAGCCTATGAAAAGTGGAAGTGTTAATGAATTGACAAGAATCCCACAAACAACACCTCTTTTTGTAGATCCAAGAGAGGTGTGATTGTGACTATATATGCCACCTAATTATTATTTTTTAATATATTTTATAATATATCCATGAATTATACTGATTTTAATTTAACAGTAATACAGGTTCGACTTGTATGATGTATCATGTTCTGGTTTGTTCGTTGGCAAGCCATAAAACTGATATGGAATATGGATGTTAGTCGAAGGAAACATGAATTGTTTAGAATAGTGGTAGATTTCGTTTAATTAGGAGAGAGGTGAGATGTCACTTGTTTTGAGTGACTTTTATTCGGGATCTGATTTTCGTTGCAAGTACTGGTCAACGATCACACCAAAATGCTTCAAATGGTGTGACTGGTAAAGGTTGTATGAGCACATGTTGATCATACTGAAATGGTGCATCCTGAACCATGACGTTATTTATGATAAGCAGTTCTTTGGTGAACAAAGGAATGTATTCAAGACTTTGGGTCTGTTTGATTCATTGGAATTAGACGGAATTTGAGGGGATTGGAATTACGTATTCCTTCGACTAAATTTTGTTTGGTTGGTTGGTTGCAATTTAATTCCGCCACCTACAGAAATTATTGATCATCTGCGGATTTATGAAGCCTCACCGGGGTCCCATGTACCTGTGCAACTGACTTTTCCAAGTAAATTTTTCGTTGGGGGTACTAAAAGGTGTACAAGCTACACTTTGGGGGTACCACATGACATTAGAAAATACAAGAAACATCAACCAAAAAAATTAAAAATCATTCCAAATCAGCCAAAAAAAACTCAATTTTCTTTGAAAAGTGGAATCTGCATAAAAACATATCAGACAATTTTGCAGACCTCTAGTCCACTTTAAAGATATGACGGCTCGACAAAAATCTTGGATCTGTTGCTTTCATCATTCACCCTGTATGATTTTATATTCATAGAAATCAATAATAATTATTAAACAACGACTACTACTGGTATTACTATTATTATTAATTATGACAATAACAACCAGTATTATTGTTTTGTTGTTATTATTATTTCAAACAGTAAATAATAATTCAAATAGTAAAGAGTAAATTTGTCAGTTAACCTTGCTAAAACTGTATTTTACAAAACCAAGAGTTCAAATGAATGGATTAATTTTCATTACCTTCGCTCCCAACTTCCCAACTAAGTATGTGATTTAATCAGATTCTATTTTATTCTAAATCCTGACCCTCAGATTCGAATTTCTTTTGATAGATTCGATCTCTTCCAAAAACATTTTATGAACCAAAATCCTTTTTAAAATTTTACACGAATATATAACCCTCCTCTGCAAACCCCCCCCCCCCCCCCCCAAAAAAAAAAACACTTAACATGCAATAACTATCGGTTTCATCTTCAGTAGATACAATTTGATTTAATATCGTCAACACCATTCTAAATTGATCCTACTTCAATATTTTTATTATTTGTCATATCTTACGAATCCAACGTCACCTTTTTCATAATTTTGAACATGCAATGCAAAGATTTGAACCAAAAATTAACAAAGGTATTTTTTTCTTATAACTCACACACCGAGAATTATATGACAATAACACGCAAGGACCTATACTGTTTTGTCTTTGTTCACAAGCTACAATTTAAATTAATCAGTGTTTTGACAAGATGGTTAACAATAAAAGAAACATGATCGATATTGTGATAAAATTGATTGCATAACCTATCCCGCCTTGAAGTGATTGACCACTACGTGTGGTCATATTAGACTTTTGATAAGGACACGAACCATATTTTCAAAACGATATGGACAATACTTGTGGAATAATTATCCCATCAATGACTATATCTATCATTTGTAGCCTAATATTTTGTCGGTTTACACAGTACTTGTTCTGAACTGTACTATTATCAGCTATCACCGTCCTAATAAAAAATCAAATCCTAATTAACAAAATATCACCTTATCATTAATCATAGTCTTACATCAAAAGTCAATTTTAGAACAAAAAGTGGACAAGTCAATTCTCTTGATCTCTAGAAACGCTATAATTTTGTTCCTAACATCATGCGAACTTAAACCCATTACAAATTGATGGGCTTTTTAAGTTCATTAAGGCCCATTATAGCCGTGCACGACCGCACGTCTAGCCTATGTCGATTCTTGTCATGTATGTAGTCGACACAAGTCGACTTATCAGATAGTTTTGCAGGCTCAAGTCAAACCACGCCAACACCTTTATGTATATCAGCTAAGGTCGAGCGATGTTTGTTTTGTATTTGCTTTCGTTTTGTCCCATATGTTTCATTTTGAATCCACGTAGAGGATCATTGTTGCATAGCGCAAGACAAGAGTGAGGTATCATCAGATGGCCAACAAGCAGTATCCCTCCTTTTTTACTGATCAATGTTTAACCTTCATAAAGTTACAGTTTTAAGTTATAAACTCTGTAACAAGTTAATCAAAGCGATAGCTAGAGGAGAATAAATACAAGAAGACAATATATCAACTCTGCATAAAATATCTTGGATTTTCGAGATGTTATAATCAATAATATTTAAGGTTATGGTATTCTTTGATAAAAGACAACTTACAATTATCTCTTTAACTTCTTGTTTATTACAGCATGCAGAACAACTTACAGTTATCTCTTGCGTGATTATTATTTATTAGGTTTAGAGTTTACATAAAAATAGAATTTAGTTTAATGATACCAATTTAGGGCTCTTTCAATTCAAGTATCACATCTTTAGTTTACCAATTACCAGTTACCAATTTGGGGGTATGTATGATGAATGGACTACTTACAGAGTATGGTCGATTCGTTACTTTCACTTGCGCTTTTAACCTATATGTTTTATTTATTTATAGTTTAAATTTTATGGCCCATAATCAGTCCAAACCGTGTAAATCTAGACAAATTAGACGGCATTTCTATGGTATGATTTGACTGGTATGGATACTTCATTTCAAACAGCATTACAGTGTGGTATGTTAAAAAGGCTTAAACAGTCCAGAGAAGACCATCAATACCCCTACAAATAAACGGGCCGTACCATCAAATTATGAAGACCGATGTACCATTTATTATAATTTCAATTTTCTTATTGTTTCTTTCAACGTATAAATGTAACCTACCGACGACTATCGATCGTACCCATATGCCTCGAGTTTTTTTGCCTTTCTATTTAGAAGAGCGAAGAAAATTTGACATGGATGATTCGTTTATTGACTTCTTGTTAAACGATAGAAAATGTTAAAGACTTAGTACCCATCCCATAAATTTTTCCACAACATGTCACACCAATATTGTGATTGAAAGATTCATCGTTTATTTTTCTAAGAACATCTCTAGCAACTATGTTAAAATAGATAAAATAAAGATTTTAGCAACTTTTTGCTCCAACGGCTAGGGGGTGCTCAAAAACCCGATCAATCCAACCCAACCCAACGCGAAATAACCCAACCCGAAACAACCCAATGTCTAATCGAGTTGTAAAATTGTCAAACCATAGGTATTGAGTTGATATTAGGTTACTATTATTTGAACTCAACCCGATGAACCCGATATCCTTTTATTTATTAGATTTAATATGATTGTTGAATTTTTATTAATATATACATTAGACAATTACACTATCATGTATGCTTTTCATATACACATATTTTCAATCTATTCACATCTCTATATACTCATTCGTATATATATTCAGTAACTGTGAACATATATATGTAAATTAAGAAAATTAACTGAATGTGATATACGTAATAAATATAAATAAGTTGTATCAAATGGTTTATGATGAAAAAGAAATTATGAGTAGAGAAATAACATATTCAAGGTTAGAAAAATATTTTAATATACCAAAGTATCAATCCGACCAACCTGTACGGATCGGGTTGGGTTGGGTTGCACTTTGGTTTGGGTTGGGTTGGGTTAAGATTTTTCAAACCACAAGCATTGGATTGGGTTGTTCAAATGTCTTCAACCCAACTCATGAGCACCCCTACCAACAGCTACGATGTTGTTGTATGATAAAATAGAGAAAATAGGAGCGAGATTATAAAATATCTAAATAAAGAGAAAAATTCTTATTTTATATTTTCCCAACGATAAGAAGTATTGAATATAAATGTTTAGGAAAGAGAAATAATGTTTTATTAAATGATTAAATATTTTAATAATATAGTTAATTTTAAAATTGTAAAAAAAATTAAAGACTTTATTTTAAAGAAAATATAATATAATTATTAAAGATTTCCACTTACAAAATCCTTTTGTACAAATATTTAATCTCATTTTTTTTTATAAATATAATTTATAGAATTAAACAGATCAATGGTAACCTTTTCTTTTATGGATATATTAATTGTATAATAAAATAAATTATGGCGTGTTTGCTAACACGAATCCACGAAGTGGTCCATATAAAAAAAATAAAGTAAAATAAATGTAAATATATGTTTTTAAATAAATACCATATATATTTGCATTATAGTTAGTCATTAATAAATCAATAATGGCATTTATTTTAATTCATGACATTTTGTTACCATCTTTTAAAATCATTTTAATTGATAATTAAATAACATATACTCCAACAAAAATCAGATGTACCAAGGGTTTTTCGTGAGACCTGTAAGACCAATTTATATTCATTGATCAACTTTATAAGCTAATGATATAATGGTCTAAAGTTGCACGATAGCAATTTTATGATTATTGAGAAGTCTCGTGGCAATTTTGTAATTATGAATGTTCAGATTGTAGATCTAATCCAATAGTTGAGAACGAATCTTATGAAAAACTCTTGGTCTCACATGATCCCAAGTTTTAATAGATAATACTAACAATTAAATAGTTAAAATACCATTTAATAAGATAAACAAAAAGAACTTTACATACCAATTAATTATAATAATATATTATAATGATTCATTAACATATAAACTCAAAAAGCCTTTTACATGTATCTTATAGATTGTTTTTTCATTTTTTTTTTATAATTTCATTAAGAGACATTATCTGAATCATTAAAAGGTTAATTTTGTTTGGTAAAAAAAAATAGTTTCAAAACTCTGTGAATGATTTTATATCATGCGTCTCCTTTAACCATTTAACACCCTAATTTTATTGTAAACAATTATATTTCATTTTGTACTATATCATAAGAGTCTCTTAATCATTCAACAATTGTCAAATAGCTTCTTAGTTGATAAAAGAGTGAGGTGATTGCATCCAAATAAAAGACAGGTCTCGGATTCGATCTCGGACCCCCTCCCTCTGCTAGCATCAATCGTTGACGGACCTTAAAAATGTCATTTCACATGGATGTCCTCGAAACAAGTTTTATGTGAAACCCGTTGAAATTACTGATAATTAATTTTTGTTTAAATATACAAATTTAAAAATATTACATTTTTAAAAAAAAAACGCAAAAGAAAAGATATTAAAGCAATAAATAGAAGAAAGGACACAAAAAGGAAAAGGTTAAATGATAAAGAAAGAGCTAGTCATCAGGCACCCGAACCCCACCTTTATTAATTGTACATCTTACGGTAACAACCCTTAATGTTTTTCGAAATGACAAATCCTACCCTCAACATTATGGAATTGCACAAAAGCTAAGCAAAACAATGTTTTTAACCTCTTTACAACATAGACTCGTATAGAAACGAATGATGTGCGGTTACAATCAAATAAATTATTTCTTGTATCGCCAATTTGACCCGAGTTAAAATGAACCACAAAGTTGATGACTGTTTCAAAGATTTCTCTTCTCTACTTCTTTTGTTTGAAAGAGGAGTAGGTTAGGTTTTTTGAAGAAATTTTCTCTGGAGATGGAAATTTTTTTGAAAATTCTACTGAAAATGCTTTTTATCTGCTAAAGATACAGTAAACCCTAACTTTGTACAAGGTTGGTACGGTTAGATTAGTTTATGCACAATCCAACTTATATTTTAGCTTATTATTTGACTTTCACTTGTCATATCTAATTGCTACATAAATCATAGTCCTGATATGAAATCTCAAAGATTTATTGAGTTCACTTCACTTGTAAACTAAAGTTAACTATTACAGTCTTGAAATATACTCTTTTCGTCCCAAAATAAAAGTCTACAATGAAAATGACACACGGTTTTAGCAATGTGTAATTATTACACTTTTTAAGTAACTAAATGACATTTTTACTCTTGATTATAGAGAGAGAGAGAGAGAGAGAGAAAAAAAACACTTTATCCATCTTATAATTAAGGATAGAATGGAAAAGTGAACACTTATTCTATGACAAACTAAAGTAGAAGCTTGGACACTTAATTAGTAGCCGTTTACGAAACGCTTACCAGATAAATGATTACTGACAAGAGTCATCACTTTCACTTACCTTATCAGCTAACATTCTCGACCAACAAAATGGATTGACATAAGCGTCATTTACCTAGTAAATGCTTACTAGATAATAGTATTTTCCATCACTTACCGGGTAAGATTATTAGTCCTTGTTATGTTTTTTACTGGATAAAATTCTCAGTCTTTACCATACTCATTGGTAAGATAAGTGACACCCGGTGAAATTTTGATGAATGGCCATTTAATTTGGGACGGAGGAAGTACAATGTTGTGTTGAATTTGTGATCATTAGAAACCGGTATATCCATATTTTTCTGAAACTAGAGGGTAGTGAAATGTAACTTGTAAAAGATGAAGGATGCATGCTGAATGAGCCACAAAAGTTGGTGGAAATCATAGGATGGCATAGTGTTGTGTTATTGTCTGATTGCTCTAACAATTCCACGCATTAACGCAACCCTGAATTTCTACATCTCTAAAATGGAATCCTGACTAAGATATCCAAATTGAAGGTGAAATCCTCATCTTCAATACCCCCACCAGTACAATTTCCCCCAAATTATCATGACTTTGTGTGCCGCAGACACCGCCAGAACGATCGCATGTCGCGACGGCGATGCGGCGGCGACGCTCAAGCTCATTTCCATGTTCGTTATATTCTTCACAAGCGTTGTTGGTATATCGGCGCCGGTGATGCTCGCTCGTCTCTTTCATGGCAAGCCTCTATACGATAAGGCGATTTTGGTTATTAAATGTTTCGCTGCCGGAGTCATTTTATCGACCTCACTTGTTCATGTGCTTCCCGATGCGTTCGATGCACTTGCGGATTGCCATGTCTCTTCGCATCATCCATGGAAGGACTTTCCGTTCTCCGGTCTGATTACTTTGATCGGAGTATTAACGGCGCTGTTAGTGGATTTAACGGCGACATCGCATGTTGATGGATACAGTCACGGGCATGGACATGGAAATGGAAATAAGGAGGTTGCCGGTTACACACAGATTGGAGGGAGTGAGGAATTGAAGAAATCCGTGGTGGAGATAGAGGTGGTGGAAGCGGAGGAGGAGAGACGGCGGTTGAAGGAGGATGAGATGGTGAAGATGAAACAGAAGATGGTTTCTCAGGTGTTAGAGATAGGGATCATATTCCATTCGGTGATCATCGGAGTAACGATGGGGATGTCACAGAACAAGTGTACGATTAAGCCGTTGGTGGCGGCGTTGGCGTTCCATCAGATCTTCGAAGGGATGGGCCTCGGCGGTTGCATCGCTCAGGTAAAACCACCGCCACCGATCATTCTAGAAATTACTTGATTCATTTGCTTTACTCTCAACCGTCCATTTTGCATTCATTTCTGAAGCGGACAACGGTTTTTGGCCGTATGCCCATCACGTGGCGGTTCAGTTTTGAGAGAAAAATCCATTTTTCCCCACCAAAATAAGGGGGCAACAATATTATTGTTTACCAAACACTTATCCGATAAGTGTTTACGGGTAAAATTTAACACTATTATTATTTATCGGGTAAGATTTTAGTCCACTGAAACGACTTTGTATGCAACAATTTACTCGGTAAGCGCTTACCATGTAAGAGTTGTCGTCCTCACTTACCGGGTAAGACTCTTGGTCCTTGTCTCGCTCTTACCGGATAAGTTTTTTTATCCTTATCATATTTATCCAGTGAGTAATGTGAATTGGTAAACGCTTACCCGAATACTCGGTCAGTATGGCTTAATGATAAATAAAAGTGACTTTTGAGGTTGTTTGGTTGGTTTTTATCGAGTTATGTAAGAATAAAGTTGTTTGTACAGACTAATTTATGGATTGTGTACTGTCCAGTCCAGTCCAATCACTTTTGTGTACCAAACATACATGCCCTAAACATGAGTTATTTTTATTAAACCGTATAAAATCGAATATGCAAAACTTGATGTCTTTTTTTGACATACAGGCAGGATTTGGATTCGGAACCACAGCTTACATGTGCTCCATGTTTGCGGTGACAACGCCAATGGGGATCGTGTTGGGGATGATCTTGTTCTCGGTGACAGGGTATGACGATAGCAGCCCGAACGCATTGATCCTTGAAGGTCTTTTGGGTTCGTTGTCTTCAGGGATACTCATATACATGGGTCTTGTGGATCTCATCGCTCTCGATTTCTTTCATAATAAGTTGATGAGTTCAGAAACTTGGTTAAAAAAGACCTCGTTTGCAGCCTTAGTTCTCGGCTCTACTTCCATGTCGATTCTTGCTCTTTGGGCTTGAAGTTTCACACCTAAATCGATCATAGTAATGTACAACTGACATCTACATTGCGTTTCTATAAAAATCAACTCTTTCCCAATCAGTTTCGTCTTTTCCGATCAGTTTAGATTCATCATTTTTGCTGACATGACATGATAGTGACCTAACATGACATGACAGAACAAAAACTGATTTTTTGATGTGACAGACGGTAAGAAAGTGCTACATATGGAAAGTGTGACGAAATAAGTATTTTGATTGATGGTAATTATTTAGTAATCAAATGTTTGTTGTAATGTTTCGTTTTCAATCAGTAAATCATGGATCGTTAAGCGTTTGCTGAATACGATTGATCAATCCATAAGCTTGTATCTTTTCTCTTGGACGCCGGTGACTCCCATTTGTATCTCTATTATCGTATGCAACGGCATCTGAAAACCGCAACATTCATGTCAGTATCCGTGTGTGTGTGTGTGCGCACGCATGCACGTGTTCGTGTTGTTACCTCTATGTGCGGAATTTCTTTCAACGGTCGATCAGCAAAATACGCATATAATGCTCTCAAAACCGCCTGAAAAAAAAACCCAAATCAAATGAAGCCAGTATATCCCACATAAAAAGGGGATCTAAGGGGTTGTTTGGTTGGTTTTCCATTAAGTCTTGTAGGGATTAATCTGTCTATATAGATCGGGAAGATTTTTGTTTGGGAAGGTTTTTTCATAGATGGAAAGGAGTGTTTTTTAATTCAAATGGACAGGTTTGGAAATACTTGGTTTTCTGCATAAAGCTCTCCCTAAAAGCTTATTGAACAAGTCCCTTTCTATGTCATTAAGCCACTACCAAACAGTCATCTATGGTTGATCGAATAAGTTGTGAGTCTCATTAAGCTCATTAAGCTGCTAACAAACAGGCCCTCAAGTTGGGATGTAGAGAGACATAGTCCTTAAGGTGGGATGTAGACCGACTTTTCCCTCACAGCCTGTTTTTGTGAAACCCCTCAACTTACAAAACAAAAGTTAAAAGTATACCTGGTGAGATACTACTACGACAGGAGCCCGTTGCCGTTCAAGCTCGATGATCACGGGCTCCAACCTGCAATAAATCGAGAGTCTCGTTATGCATATTAAAAATAAAACTCGAATATCGATAACGATGGTTCATCAACAAACCTTTGTATCACATCCAAATAAGACTCTCCACGAGGATACCGATACCTCAATTTATCCTTCTTCCGTGACCTTCAATTAAATCAAAAATACGCAAATCAAATCAGACGCACCCAGTATGTCACACCCGACAGTAAGGTTTGGTAGGTGGGATGTACGCAGAACGATATTGCTTGGGGATAAAGACCCGTTCACATATACAAAAGACCGCAAAATTTAGAGATAAATAAGCATAAGGTTTGGAGATAAAACATACTCGTATTCCTCAGGCATATTTTTCTTTATTTCCTCGTATGTCATCCCATCGCATACACCCGCATTTATCTCATCAAGTGCACGCCATTGTATCTATATGGAAATCAAAATTAGTAAACAAACATGCGATCGCTCAAAGATCTACCAAGTCACAAAGATATCTTGTAAATCTCACGGTATTCACGCTAACCTTTGGGAATCCAACGATTTGATTAGCGGTCAAAATCGTTCTCTGCAATGTGCTTGTCCATATCTAAGCAACACCAAGAACACGGAGATCAGCCATGGTTGAGTGTTAAGGCCTTGTTTGGCAAACAAGCTGATAAGCTAGTTGTCGGCTGAAAAACTAGCTGTCGGCTGAAAAGCTACCATGAGTCTAAGTAGCTATGGTGCGAGTATTAAGGCCATGTTTGGCTGAAAAGCTAGCTGATAAGTTAGTTGTTAGCTGAAAAACTAGATACCTGCTGAAAAGCTACCATGAGTCTGAGTAGCCATGGTTCAAGTATTAAGGTCATGTTTGACAAAACTAGATGATAAGTTAGTTGTTGGCTGAAAAGCTACCATGAGCCTAAGTAGCCATGGTTCAAGTATTAAGGTTGTGTTTGACAAACTACCTGATAAGTTAGTTGTTGGCTGAAAAGCCAGTTGTTAGATGTGGGCTAAAACTAGCTGTCAGCTAAAAAACTGTTATGAGTGTAAGGAGCCATGATTTAGGCCACGTTTGGCAAACTAGCTGAAAAGCTAGCTATTAGCTGATACTACCATGAGTGGAAGTAAAAAGTAAGGAGCTCGAAGCATATATGGAGTCGGACTTTTGATTTTGGATGTAAAATGGGCTGCTTTCTATATTCAGAAAGCATCAATATTACATACTTTCATGATCGAGCTATATTTCCTTAAATGGAAGCTTGTAAAACAGAACATTCAAATCAAATAGCAAAATGTATCAAGAAGAATTCTTACAGAAGCAGCTCGTTCATTCTTGAGTCGCTTCTCCACAAAGTTAGAAAGTTTCTTTGCATAAACCTCGCCTTGCCCACTGTTAACCAAGTCGAATATATTACTCAAACTAGCTCGAGAACCACCAATTTATATCATAGCTCAGATTAGAGATGTACAAAAAAGCCCAAGCTCCAAGGCTCGGCCAAAAGCCTAATCGGACCATGTACTTTTTCAAGGCCTGGTTAAAGCCTGGCCCAAAAAAGCCCGATCAGGCTCATTTTCACACGGGCTCTTTTTGCTGGCGAAGCCCGAATATCCCGGATGCAAGCAGAAAGTAATCATGCTTATCAGCAGAAAGAACAAACCTCAAAACAGTGTCACCACCTATTCTTCCCCTCACGTTATCACGACTCTCTCCATGCCTCGTAAGCAAAATCGGACGGGGAGTAAGATGCGTATTCACCTGAAAATTATCTTGATCTATTAAGACACAATTTAGTCAAATAAAAGTTAGCAAAAGTATCTTTGATTTGTGATAAATTATCCTTTTTTATGCAATCCTTTTGTTTTTTATTCGAGCAAATTTAACAATATACAAAGTGCGAGTATTTATGCTCTCTACATGTACATTCATACAATTTAAACGGAAAAATAAAGATTAGCTGAAAAAACACGAGATGAAACTCTACTTTGGAGAAAGAGGAATATGACAATAACTTCAGTGACATACCAAGAAAAACACGATACGCCCAGGAAGGTAACCACCTAGATTATTCACCTGAAAAATTAGAAATCTGTTGGTAAGTTTAAAAGGAACAGACGCGTGCATTCATTTTCTAGCGGATACTGTGTGGAATAGATGTCAGGTCTGCATAATATCCCATCTCCAAATGGGATATCGCATTTTTATTTTCAATCACTAATAAAACATGCCGTTATAAATTCTAAACAACATGAAGACAACTTACTTCTATCTGCCCGCCTTGGCCGCTAGCCATATCGATCATTTTGATATATGAACCTTCATTCACCGGCTCATACATCTTGCACCAAAAAGGGAAAAAAAGTTATTGGATTTACTCATTTTCGTCATCTATTTTCATCTTGTTGTCCTATTTATGACACGGGCGAGGGATAAAGATGAGTTATGGGGTCCTGTTTGCTTGATATGCGAAGAAATAAAGATGGGACCCACAATACGAAGAATGGAGAACATGGCAAATGGCATATACGATCACGAAAAGGAACATAGTAAAGAAAGTATGGTTCAAAAGACTACCTTTTCGTAATTATCGAGTCGCCTTTTGAAGTCCTGATATCCGGCTTCGAAATCCGGCCTGTAGATATATATTTATATACGGTTTAGTCTATTTTACACAAGTTTCTAACAGAAACAACGTGATAGTTCTAGTGAGCGACTTTACTCTTCTGCATAATCAGGACTCTGTTGAATCTTAAGCCGAATGTTTCTTTCAATAATCTGTGGATCAGTACATATCGTTTCCAAAAAGATGATCTGTATCGAAAACCATTAAGAAAATCAGAAGCCGAGGAGCCCCTAATAAGATCATAGGTTGCCAGTCTAAACAGGGCCACTGGGATTTTCCTGACTGGTATCATCGGGCCCCACAGGATTACTCGAGGTGCACGCAAATGGGTCCGCACACCCACAAATTCCAGAAAAATTACCTTGCATTTGCCTTCTGCCATCTTCATAAGCATATTCCTTCGCTGGCTAGTGCTGTTTGTGGCATCAAATATTCCTACCTACATTCAACCGTAACCCTTCTCAATAACCGGAAAAACCAAAGGGTCACAAGTGACCTAAATGTCCATACTCGAACCCCAAACTTGTGGGTTTCTCCATGAACCAGGGGTGCATCAACACGCACCCCTCCTAGTTTGTGGTCTGCTTTGTGTAACGTTTCTTGGGTCTTCAAAAAAGATAGGACTTACCTGGCCACCTTCATGCATCCAGGCTATCATGTCGTCCATTGCCAGAGCGGCTACCTAGTAGCACGTGATGTATTAAAACTATTTGCAAAGAAAGATGTCAATACAGTGTACCATTATATCAAACCAAACGGACCCAATAAATCCAACTAGAAAGTAGGGTCTGGGAGGGGTTAGATGAAAGCAGACTTGACCTCTACCCCCAAAGAGTAGAGCGATCGTTTCCATGAAGACAAATACAGTGTACCATAGAATGTTAAATAATGGAACGGATAAAATAATAACAATATGGTCAAACGAGTATACGACTACCACAAAGATCTCAAAATTGGAGGTTTTAACATAAATTAGTGCCGCTTAAAGTAAAAAAAAACAAATTAACCTCATAAAAGACAAAACTTTTAATGGCATTCACCTCATTCCGAGCCTCCATGCCTTCAGGATTGTCACCCCGGAAAAAATCAGCACACTGCATCAGTGATATGGATCTATCAACGTTACTGCTAGAATGGTTTGGCTTCTATAAACATCAAAAAGGGTGGGTTCAAGACAGAACACTAAAAAGGGAGAACAAGGGAACCAATTCGAACCATCCATCTATTTCAATCCAACAGTTGTAAATAACAGGATCAGTTACATTTGAATCTAGGCCATCCATTTTCTAGATCCAACGGTTGATAGGGGTTCACTTGTTCTCCTTTTTGGGGATTCTCTCTTGAACCAGTCCTCTAAAGCACATTTCAAGAAAATCAGATGTACCAGGTTGGCTCCATGCTTAAGCCGTCGATACTGTTGCACCAAGAAAAACCGATCAGACTATTTTCCGTGCTTCCATAGGTTCCAATGGACGACGAAAAGAATATAATGCAAAAAAGCAATCACCTTTCCAACATTGAAGTGTTTCGTGTCGTGACCTAACCAGCGGAGATATCTTGTAAGTTTAGCAGCGGTAAAAGTTTTGCCACGAGCTGGCAAGCCAACCTACCAAAAGTATCGAACATTTCAGAAATATTTGTAATAAAGAATCAAGAAAGGTACTGAACGATAAAGGAGGTCATCAGGGGGGTACCAAGACAATTGCCAGATGCATATCTTCTTTGGGTCCAAGCATTTGATCAGCAACGGCTGCAGCTGCAACAGCTCCAGCAGCAGCCGGCATTGAGTTCTAACAGTTTCATATGTTACAAATTTAGAGGACAACCAAAACCATAAAAGGTCTAAGATATATCTTCATGCAGTTAGGCTATGTTTGGCAAACTAGCTGATAAGCCGGCTGTTAGCTGAAAAGCTAAACTAGTCATGTTTGGTAACAACTAGCTGAGCCTGGTACGATAGATGACAATGTAAATTAATGTTGACATGGAAAAATATAAGGGACATAATTGGAAAAATGGAAAAAAAAATCCCGCAAAGCTTATGGAAACGCTACTTGAAGTAGATTTTCAAAAAGCTAGCTTACGGCTAACCAAACAGGGTCTTTTATCAAAAAAGCTAACTTATAGCTAACCAAACGGGGCCTTTTTTCAAGAAGCTAACTTATGACTAACCAAACAGGGCTTTTTCAATGAGCTCCAAAAAGAAGCTAGCGTATGGTTGCCAAATGTGGCCTTACAAAGATGGTTTTGTACAAACCTTGGCTTCTGAATCAGGCAAGGTGGTTGCACTCGCAGATTTCACTAACCGAGAAGATCCCACGCCTCTATCAACAAGAAGTCCTTTCTGACCATCTTGCTTCTGTACCACTGAGAACGTACCTACAGACTTTGATTCAACCATGCCAGGACTATAGTACACTTTAGGAGAATCTGATTCCTTTTCCTGAACGACAACTTCCCTTTCCTGTTTAAATGCCATAATCACTTGTATGGATAAGTAATAAGACTCAGAAGATGATGTATTACCATCATCCTATCTATACTATATTATAAATCATATGATAAAAAAAAACTGGTAAAAACAACTTATTAAACATCAAGTATTATTTGTTAATGCCAAATTAGGAAGTAATCAAGAAGTATGGTCGCAAAACTTGGCCCTTCTTTGAATAAAAGGGTCTGTACCAGAGTAGAGCATGTGATTTCAGGTTTAGAACATCATAGGCTTAATATATGACCAAAAAGTAACCTTTATAGTTGGGGGTCGATCAACGGATACACCCACACCCTTTTCTGAACCATCGCCTTTGGTAACCCCCCTGCCATGCTGCAAACATCTTGGAGTCTCTGTCAAGTTAGCAGCATATACCAGAGAAGTTGGTGGTGTTGGAACCACATATTGTTCAAGATCAAGATCCAAACTTGTTGAAGAGCCATTCTGAGTAAAAAATTTACGAAACAAAGAATTTATTAGACGTTCATCACACACCCATTTTAAACGATCACAGGTTAAATGTTGGGCAAATTGCATGAAAATGAAACGTACTCTGATCTGAATCCTATCTTATGTAACGTGCTTTCAAAACCTTCATTTTGGAACCTCGGATGTGATATCTCAAACATTTAGACTAAAGTACGTTACACAAAATAAGCAGTTTCCCAATGTTAATCATTAGAAGAAAGCAGCAAGATTCATACACATACCTCCTCACCCTCAGGCAATGCATTTATACTAACATCAGGAATATCACGAACAGTTGAGGGTTCAAGATTTTCTTGATAAGCTCTCCAACTAGCAGCAAGATCAAAGGGTGACACCCTGTCAGCCGTAATACACACCCGGTACTCAAGAACCTCCTCAGCGGTTAGCCGAAACAGAGCCAACCTCGCAACCCCTTGCAAGGCCCCACCCATGAACTGCCTGATTGGACCCTCCTCCACTATGCATGGTCCGTTGTTATTCTTTGACTTCAATAAGAACTTGAAGTCCAATGTTTCTAAAAAGATAAGAAATATTGGTGTTATTAGTGATTCTATCAAACACCCATCCTCCAGTTTTGGGTAGTTCATTTCTATAATCAAGTTGTCTAATATTTTAGATGTGTTTTCAACTTTTCAAACCATTCTACTTGGTAAAATTGCTGCAAACATACAATTATTCCTGCTTACTTGATTTAGGGTCTGTTTCTTAACAGCTTAATGAACTTAATATGACTCGCAGCTTATTCGGTCAGCTATACATGGCTATTTGGTAGTGGCTTAATGTATAGAAAGTGGCTTATTTGGTAAGCTTCTAGGGGGAGCTTTATGCAGAAAGCAAAGTTTTTCCAATCCTGCCACTCCCAACTAAAAATACGCTCCTTCCATCTATGAAAAAAAGCCTCCCAAACAAAAACCCTCCCCTCTATACAGAGATTAATCCACACAATCATCTATCCATGCAGGACTTAACGGAAAAAGAAAACCAACCAAACAGCCCCTTACCTACTTGCTAGTTTGTGTCATTGCTACATATGCTTTCACTAGTTGTACTATATTCATGTTTACATGATCTATCTCTATCTTTGCCAGACACCATTAAATTTGCCACAGGGCAGTGGTCGAGATAATGTCTGTGTACATCCTACCCCTCTCAGACCCTACTTTCAAATGGGATATACTAGGTTGGTTTGGTTTATCTTTCTATAGTGTTTGTTATAAGGTTTAATGTGGTTCTTTAGTTTTTTTTCCTCAAAACATAAATCATAATAACTTCACAGATTGAATTCATCGGTTCGACCATAAAAAAAATGAAATCAAAATTGGGGCTTTGAGAACAAAGTGATGATAAAAACAAAGAACAAGAAATCAAACAGTACCATGATTAGGAGGAACAACAAAACTTAATTCCCACATTGAGGTTGACTCGCGCTCCATTGGAAGCTAATAGAAAAAAAATAACAAAAATTAAAACATGGGTATTGAAGTAGAGAATATACATGGTATAGCTAAACACAAGACGAGTGATCAAAATCGTTGAACAAAAACAGTAAACAAGAAGTTATTGGTGAAGAACAAGGAGTAAGAAAGGCAAGAATTACAGCTTTGGAGGCATCCCAAGAGCCAACGAGAGGGCCAGAGCCGTAGACATGAGGAACAAGGTCTCCTCTGGGGCTGTAATTTTCCATCTTGAGAGATACATAGAGTTGACCGCCGGCATGATCTTCTCCGATGCCATGGGAGGTCGAATCAAGATTCATTGATGAACCAGTTCCCATTCTGAATGTTATTAGCAATCTATGAATTAGAAGAGAACCCAGATGGGTTAAATTCAAAATTAAAGAATAAAAATTAGGTATAACATAGTTTCTTTTTGTAGAATGACTGGAATGGGGAGGAGTTGGGGATAGGAACCAGGGAGTAGGGGATAGTCGAGTCGAGCTTGATGGTGTTAATGGAGTTGGGAATAGGCGTGATTCGGGAGTAGTTGGTGGGGTCGAGCGGTCCACACTCCAGATGGCGGAATGAGTTCGAACCATCAATTCGCTTCAGTGGTTTCCCTTGGGCCTTTGCATCATAAATTGGCCTTATCCGAATATCCGTTATCCAAAAACAATACCATTTATTTTATTGAGATATATATCTTAATTTTAATATTTTATTTTATTTTTTATCTCAATCGATGTTATAATATAATCGTATATGATTTTGATAAAACGATGATGTTTTTATTTTTGAATAAAATATAAGTTTGAAGATATCATAAAATTTTGACAAAAATATATCGATATTAGTATTAAATTAATTATTTAAAAAGTTTCATTTTTTTGTGTAATTTTTTAATTCAATTTTTTTATAATTTAATTTAGATACAATAACGAAGTAATTTATATTTGGTATAATAATGTATTTTTTTTATAAATATAAGAATTATTTATTTTGTTAGAACTCGATAATTATTCTAATTATATTTTAGATTTTTTATATTTTAAAAT